TGACTCACATTGATTTCCTGTGCGTGTGTGTTACCTTCTAGGTTAATTCTTTTTGATCTAACCTTTTCTCTAGTTCCTGGTCCCCTTCTCCTATTGGCCTCAGTTGCTTTTAAGGTATCTGCTTTAGTTTCTCTGCGTTAAGGGCAACAAATCCCAGCCCTGAATTTGTTAAACTTTTTATACTGATTTACCGATCAAATCAAATCAAATACTGCTACCTAATGTTTAAGATTATAAGTGTATAAATGTATATTCAACTAAATTAAATCATGATTTTGACACACTTCTAATACAATTGGTAGTTCCATATGGCAGAATGCCTGCTTAGCAAGCATGAAGCCCTGAGTTCAAACCCCAGTACCATCAAAAAAAGCATAATTTCCATGATCCTGAAGTAACTTTAAAATCTGGATAAGTAATAAATTATGAATAATTACTAGATACCTAGATAATTTCCAAATAAGATAGAAGATTGAAACATTAATTATTAAGCATAATTTTAGGTTTGTATGCTTTTGGTTCTTATTTTTAAATGTTGTATTTTAGCTCTGTCCTTGAATCACCTGACTGAGAATTCATTTTAACTCAGTTCAAAAGAGATGTACAAGGCTGCAGACAGTTGTAGGTCTTTCATGAGCTTCTCCACCCTGCTGCAATTCTCTGCCCTGGCAGACACAGTTCTCAATTATTGAACTCTTAGTTTTTGCATGACATAGTTTAGTTAAGATTATAATTAATATAGCTAATTGAAATGATAATACAATCAATAGGGACAAAGAAATGTAACTGCGTATGTATTTTTGTTTCTCAAGAAAAAAAGGACATTTTTAGTGTAAAGAAAAGTGGTAGTGTATTCCACAACATGAAAGACTAGAGGGAAAGACAAATCTTGAGGATGTATAACAAATGTAGAGGGAAGAAGAAGGGAATTTTATTTCCCTTGATTTAAATACCTGTCTGAAGAGAAGCTACATAAACGTGTTAGAGTTTGAGTATATTTCTATCAGTTTTGATAGTGTTTGATAGAAGATAATTTAAAGGAAAATAAAGCATCTCACGAAATCTTTTTTTAAATTTTATTGTTTTTAAATTTACTCACATGTGTATACATTATTTGGGACACCTCTCCCCCTTCCCCTGACAAAATCTTTACTAACAAATTTTACATTAATGCAAAGATAGAATTGGATTTTCTCTCTGTTAAAATGATAAATTGCTCTTACTCAATGACAGACAAAATTTACTCTTTATCTTTTGTGAAATCTGTACAGATGACAGAAATTCCAGGTCTCACCAGGATAATTTCCCTACTTTGTATTGATTTTCTCACATCCTTGATTATGGGAAAATTAACTACAAATTGAAGTATCCTCACTGGAAAAAAAAGTTAAGTTTCTTATAGTTGTATTACTGTCTTTTATGCTTATCTAAAAATATTTTACTGACATTTTGACTAAACAGGTAAGCAGCTGTTTCTCAGTTCTCATGGGACTATTTCAGTGTCTAAATCTTCTCTGATAACTTTTTGGATTTTGTATCCCAAGATCAGATTCCAAATTTAGAAAAGGAACTGACTTTGAGACTTCTCAGAAAGCCCTTGGGTGATTACAAAGATTTGTTATGTCATTTCATAAAAAGAGGAAGGCTGTAAGCTATCAGGTTTGTTGAATGCTCTCCCTTTTTCTTAATTAGCTCAATATTATGGAAACAACAGCATGGAAGAATTGCCAGATCAGAAATGATGCTCAGTCTTCTGAAGGTGCAGTTCATATGGGAAAATGCTACAAATATAAACATTTCAGACATTGTACATTTTATGGAAACGCTTTGGAGATTTGTTAATAACCTATCTGTAACGTGTTTTTACCCTCAGCAGTATTGTTTATGAAATAATTATGTAGAGTGCTATGATATTTTATTGTCCTCCTTTCCGATATGGTTGTTCACATGAAACTAATCATTCAGTCTCTTTATTATTCCTGTTTTTATTGGATGTGTATCTCTACACTTGGGTTCTGCTCTATACTCAGAGCCTCTAAACTCAGAGCCTTGTAGAAAGGTGTACCAGATACCACTAATGCTACAAATCATAGGCTCCTGGATACAACTGCCTGGATGCCTTCCCTCAAGCATCTTTCAGGCTTAGGGTAGATCAAATCAGAATTTCTATAATCCAAGATTCCAGACTCTTTTCAGTCCAGATTTACTATATGGCTGCTTACTTCTGGACCTAAGATTCCAGGAAATAATTAATTGCACAGGACTGAATGAGCTGATGAGGAAAATTATTATGGTTGCTTGTGTGGAATATTATCACACTATTTGTGATGTTTTGTTTTTATGGATACATGAAGAAGCCCTTTCTCTTTCATCTGAAAGTATCCCTAACCTTAAATTTAATAGACTGTGCATAAATAAACTGAAATAAAACATTTTTAAAAAGGTATTTGGGGGGAAGGAGGAGGTGGCACAAACAATGTATACACATGTAAGTAAACACAAAAATGATAAAAGGAGAAAAGAAAAAAATATAATGGGTATTTGGTTTTCATGTATGTCCTCAAAATTTAGAAGCGAAATACATTTAATTTCTCCTTACTTTTCATGACAAAATAGTTCTTTGCATAGGTTCAATAAAGAGTAGTCCTTATTTTTCCAAAATATAATTAGACAAATACATTGTTCAACCAAAGTCACATGTAGCCATATTTGAGAATGCTGCTCTTAACCAGGCATAAGAATTTTGTATTAAGGAATGGAACTTTTTTATACGTGGAGCTAAGCTCTACAAAGCCCTCTGTTTACACTGGTGTTGGTGACTGCCTCTATGTCCAAGCTTACTGGTGGTGAGGAAAGTCACTTTCTAAAATGCCAAGGACCTTAGCACATTTTGCAGAGTGAAATGGAGTTTCTGGGACATAGGTGCCTAGGAGAAAATCATGGAGGCTTTTATTTTTCATTATTATTAATAATAATTATTATTGGTATTGCAGTTTGAACTCAGGGCCTCATGTTTGCTAGGCAGGTGCAGAACCCTGTAAGCCACTCTGCCAGCCCCTCATTTAGGCTTTTAAAAGTCAGATTCATTATAAAAATTGCTGAAAATAGGTTTTTTTTTTTTTTTTGCCTTAATAGTTCCTCAATAATGTAAGGCTTTCTATTGGGCACTGGCCTGTAATCCTAGCTATTCAGCAGGCAGAGATCAGGAGGATCATGGTTTGAAGCCATCCTGGGCAAACAGTTCGAGAGAACCTATCTTGGAAAATACCCAACACAAAGCACTGCTGGTGGAGCGGCTCAAGTGTAGAGCACCTGTCTACAAGCGTGAGGCCCTGAGTTCAAAACCCAGTGCCATAAAAAAATAATAATAATGTAAGACTCCTGCAGAGAAAACTTGAGGCTTATACAGTTATATTGCTGTATGGATATAAATAAACAGAGGCCAAAATAACAAGACCAGACTTTTTGTGATCAAGAACAACCTTTGAATGTTATTTGTGATTCCAAGGCAGGAGACTGTCAAAAAAATATTCTGAAGTGTAGAAATAAAGAAGAAAGGAGGTACATCCTTCCAATGACATAGTGAGGAGAAGGATATTCAAGGATAATCGCAGTGAGAGCTCTGGACCAGCAGCATCTGCATCACCTGGAAACTTGTTAGAACTGAAAACTCTTAGCCTAGCAAAGTGGTACATACCTGTAACCTCAGCTCTTGGAAGGCTTAAGTAGGAGTAACCAGCCTGGGCTACATAGTGAGTTCCAAACCAACTTAGGTTACAAAGCGAGACCCTGTTTCAAAAGACAAAAAGCAAAACAACAAAACCACCAACCAACCGAACAAACAAAATGAAAGAAAAGAAAGAAGGAAAGAAAGGAAAAGAAACTTCTTGCATCCCATCACAGACAGACTGAATCAGAAACTCTGGAGATGGTACTAAACAGCTTGAATTTTATCAAGTTCTCCAGATGATTCTGATACACATATAACACAGTCTGAGAGCCATAAATATAGGGTATGTGGGGGAAGTACTTAGCTCAACTCACTGTTTATTATCAATTAAGGGTCTCAGATTTAGTGAAGTCATGTGTTATCTTTTTTCTTTCTTTCCTGTAGAGATATAAAGAAGTCTTATCCAGTGGAAAAGAGAACTTCAAAGGTTATACTTTATGGCTCCGTTGGACATTAACCAGATATGTGTATAACTCAGCAATTTTATATTAACATTACCTAAAATATCTAGCTTTTTGATTGCTCTTGGAATTAGTTTTGACATCATTCTGGTTTCCTCACTAATGTGTGAAAAAATCTTTGGCAGGTGTTCATTTTATATATATATATGAGAAAAATGTTTTTTGGTTGTTCTTCAGAGTGATGTGTTCTACCGATCATTGTATTTTGTTACTGTGTACTATGAACAGGAACTAACAGTCTGCAGACACATACTGTTAATAAGAAAAGGAACCAAACAGAAGGGTGAATGGTTTTAGGTAAATCTATCAGTGGTGCTAGCAAATCTGATTAGCGTGTATGCCTAGGGCTGGTGGAGTGGCTCAAGTGACAGAGTGCCTGCCTAGCAAGCCTAGCATGCGTGAGTCCCTGAGTTCAAGCCCTAATATTCCCTTACCCCACAAAAAGAAAAGAAAAAGAAAAAACCCTACTCCTAATAAAGTAGTATGCCTTACTGACAATGGGCAAAACATTAATACTGCTTTACATGCTACCCAGATTGCACAGAGAGAACATGCAATTGGTTTTTTTCTCCCTCTGGGTTTTCTCCTAGGTTACTTCTGCCTCCTGCATTCCAGGTAGTCTGGAGGCAATGGTGGATTATTAATCAGCCATCTCCTTCTCCCTCTAACTCTGTGTAGTGGTACATTCATATCCCATAATCAACAAATTGCTTCCTCCTGGGAATTTCAATCCTGAGCAGAATGGTAAACAAGAGGTTTAAAGCTCACCACTGTAGAAGCAGCATCTAAAATGCCTAGTCATGGCTCCCTGCCTAGGATCCTTAATCTACCTTCACTCCCTGGGATGGCCTACTTCTTCAGTTTTCCATTAATTTCTCTTGGTCTGGCTTAAGTTAGCCAGATCAAGTTTATGTGGCTTACACCCAAAGTACCATAGCTGATACAATGTCTACTTTCCAGAGGAAGTGACTTAACTCCATTGAGTTTTGCACACAATGGTCAAGTCAACTTCTCCCATGAGTTTCTAGTGCTCCTTTCGTAGACATAAGAATACCTCACCTGGACTGAAGAATTGACTTCCCTTTCATGGAGGATTTTTCCTCTAAAAAGCTAATTTACAAGAGAGAAATATTCTAAATATACATCTGGAAATGACACTTAATAAATCTTTGTTGATGGACTTTCAGGACAGAAAGCTGAAACTAAAAATGCTAAAGAAATTTCTAACAACCTTATATAATTACAAACTAGAATATAAACTGACAAAAGTACTTTATTTATAATATCATTTTGTAAACAATCACACTGTGCACTTTTTGATTCAACAATAACATTTTTCCCCCTATGGATTTATAGCAAACCCCATGTAAAGTCACTGAGTTAATACAAGAGTAAAGATGAAAAGTGTGGAACAATATTCAAAGTGTCAAATTACAGCACTTGATACAAAGACAAATAACTATCTGTATGATAAAAATTTACATGCCCAAAACATTAATTTATAATTTTAAATATAAATTTAAAACACATTTATAAAAAAAGCATTAATTTTTTTATAAACCAGTGAATTACCCAGAGGCATAAAAACATATTAAAAGTCAGAAAATATTGCAACTGAGGTAAAAATTTATAAGTAAACAAAACTATCATTTATAAGGATCAAAAAGTGAGAGGAAGGGCTGACAACAGTTTCTGAGGATGGGGTCACTCCTTGATATTCTGAAGCAGCTTCAGCAAATGTGATTCAATAACCTGTTGAACTACAACAGACAGGTCATCAGATTAAAAAATTTTAAAAACTATCAAGTTCACCTGATCCCTAATGTTTTCCTAAATTGAAGTTATTTCTAAGTAGGAAAAACTCATAGCCTGATGGCAATAATGCAACACAATACTTGAAAAAACTTAAAACTTCATCTTCATCTAAAAGTTACTGGACTTTCTGTGTATAGGTTTTTTTTTTTTTTTTTTAGTTTTTATATTTTTTAAATGGAAGAAGAATCCAGAGAGCACAAGGTTGTTCTAAGGTTTTTCTGTAAATAGTTTGCCATGGAAATATTCAATAAATCTTGTAAGGAGGTATGCACTTTTCTTCTAGCAATTAATTATTTGTGTTGATGAAAAGCACAGTAAACAAATCCATTCCTCAACTTTGTAGGAATTCGTTTACCTTGTCTGCATTTAAAAGCATATGTCAGTAGTTAGGATAACATGCAGAGTTTTATGGCTACAAGTGATGAAAATTGTTTAGATCACCGACTTAACCACTTATAAAGTTTTACTAAAATGAAACCTGAGAGTTCTAAAATACTTACCGCTTCTATAGCCCAGGGCTACAGCTAAATCCATAGAATTATACCCAGAGTCAGTTTCAATTGTTGGGTCAGCTCCGTTTTCTACACAGAAATAGAAAAATCTAAATAAATAAAATGAAAATGTGCATTTTCATCTGTAAATAGCTAGATAGGTTTTCAGCCAGTTTGGAGGGTATTTTCAGGATGGTCTCACAGATTTCACTTGGGTGGGCTGGAAGGAAGACACTTCAAAGAAGCATCCTCTAAAACAACTAAAACTCAAAACCAATAAAGACAAAACCTACGCATAAAGACCCTGTGAATGGAGGAAACAAGAGTGGATTCAAATGTGACCCCTATGAAAGCATCAAGGCAAAAGCTCCAATGCTGATGTGTGTGTTGGAGCCGTACCTCTCAGGGGTACTCTGTGATAACAGATGCTCCAGGAGTGAACAGCAGCAGGATGAACAGATTTAACAATAGACAGTGATCCTCCTGACTAGTACCAGGAGAGCCAGATTGGAGAACTAAAATAAAGTCCTTACATGGCATTTCCTAGATAATTTTCACTTTCATCTGCTTACCTAAGAGCATCTTCACACATTTCACATGATTCCCATGTACAGCATAAAGCAAAGGTGTGCCTCCATTCTGCAGAAGGAAAAGGTGATTTAAGTTCTCAGGGTGAGCAAGAGTCAGTTAAAGTAAGGTGTTTGCCAGTGAAGGTGAGACCCCTTGTTCAATCCCCAGTATTGTCAAAAACAGTATCAATTAAATGCTGCTGTGGGGAGTCTTACTAAGAACTGGGCTTGTAAAAGTAGTTTAAGGTAATTTTAATATGTTCTAAGGAATACTTAAATCTGGTATAATAGTTGAGTTAATGACAGCCTGTTCTTCCAGGTATTTAGTTAAAAAACAAACAATAAACAAACAGTTCTTCCAAGTGCTTAATAAAGTTGATATCCACCCCCCTAAAGCAAATGAATTCTAGAATTTGTTACAGTAATTGTAAATTCAGTATCATAGACTCACCCAATCATATTCATTTACATCAACTCCACAATCAAGCAGCATCTTGACAATATCTGTGTAACCTTTACTACATGCCAATGACAGTGCACTTTCTCGACCTTTTCCTAAAAGTTGGGGATCAGCACCCTGGCATAGAAAGTGGAGATAAAAAACTTTCAATTAATTTAAACAAGAATGTGGTTATTTCTGCCAATAATAATTACATTTCAGCACTGAAGTGAGGTAATGTTCTGGGCTTAGTAAGAAAATAATGAAAACTTTTATTCATGGGCTCTCATTACCAAAATTGTCTGGATGCCTTCCTTCTTTCCTCCCTCTGTCTATCTCAGTCCTAACTCTCCTTTCACTCTGGAGTCAAGTCACAGCTCCTCTGGGAACCCTTCTCCTCCAGGGCTGATGGTACTTGTGTTCCTGTTGCACTGAGAGGGACTAGACATTAAATTATCTCTCATGGTTCCATGTATGATCAGGATTGCCTTCCCACCTAGATCCAACTTCCATGGGAATAAGAAAAGCATTAAATTTTTTTGTATCCTCCATCATTAAATCTAGCTGGCTGGAGATACAAACACTTTGCTAAACACTTAACTGAACTTAAGTAACTATACATATACATTTTCTGAGGCATTTTCCTTACATTCTGAAGTAGAAACTCTACCACAGCTATTTGCCCGTGTGCTGCAGCCCACATCAGAGGAGTAAATCCTTCTTCATCCGTGTGATTGATAACATTTTCTATTTAAAAGAAAAGCAATTTTTGTGATCTAATTTAATAACCACATATTATTATCACTATGAAACCACTGGCATTCCAAAAAGTTGATTAGATGACTCAATAAAGTTCATATTGTGCTGCTTTGTTTGCTGAAGTTCTGTTATGTTGCTGAAATTTGCAGTCTGGATGTATTATGATATGCCTCGATGTACAGAGCTGAGTTTGTATAGCACATTTTTTTAAAGTGTAAACTACCAACATAGCATAATGCTAGATACAAGGCAGTCAACATTGGTCTCAGTGTGAGGAGACCAGAGTTTGAATCCTGCTCTGTTACTTTCTAGCAGTTTGGTCACTTATTTTAAACTAGTCACTTAATTTCTTCTAAACACAGATTAATACCTTGCTTACCTAAATGTATAGTGAGGAGGATCAAAACAAAAATGATAGATGATGCCTCATGAAAGCTAACTTCTGCTCTACATCTAACATTACTGCCTGTGAATTTCTCTTATTTATGTGGTTTGTCAACATAGTATAATATGAATGAAGATTGAATAATCTGAAACATAGCACCACGGAATTCCAACTTGAACTTCATTTTATTCCTGAGACTTAGTCTACTAGCTATAAACTCCACAGCCTTTCCCCTAAATTTATTTAAAAGACTGAAAATGAAACTTCCAAATATTTATCAGCAAACAGAAATACAATGACTCAGTCTTTCTTTAAATAAAAATGTCATATTAGGAAAAATAAAACTCTTTGATTACGCTTCCTGTTATCAATGGTTGGGATAACTACTTAAGTTTTTGAAAAATGAAATTCAAGGTAATATATTCCTCGATTTTTACCTTACTATACTAAAACATATTTCATGAGTCAAAGATTGAAATGTAAAAAAGGAAACCACAGAAATTCTAGAATAAGAATGGATGAGTTTATTTACAATCCTGGAGTGGGAAATATTTTTTAAGCAGGATATTAAACTCAGACGTCATAAAGAAAAAATTTACCAATTTAAGTCTTTGAAAACATAGTAAAAGGAAACATGACAAACTGAGGGAAAACCACATGCAACATAAATGACGAAAGGTTACTTTTCTTAATTTAGATAGAGTTCATATAAATCAATATATGGCAGGCAGTTCCTGCAAAAATGCAATTCAAAGAGATTATAATTTTAAAAATATAAATGAAATAACTGTGAGATACCATTTTTTATCCAAGGATTAATGAAAATTAAAGTTTGATAATATTCTGTGTCAGTGAGGATATGGGGAAATAGAAACTAACTCTAGTGTGAAGGCAAACATCTGGTCACATGTAAAAATAAAGACTCCGGGCTGGGAGGGTAACTCAGTAGTAGAGCACTTGCCTAGCATATGTGAGGCCCTGGGTTCAATCCTGAGCACCATAAATAAATAAATAAATAAACAAATAAATAAAATTTTCATTTGCTTTGACCCAGCAAATCTACTTGTACAGATTTACTCAATGAATATATTTAAAAAGAATGCTAATACTGTCATATAATAGCAAAAAATTAGCACTACCACAGAGACTAATTAGACAAATTTTAAAAACATAGTATACACATGTACAATATAATGCTCAATTATGGAACTATGAAAAGGAATAAAATAGATGGGTGTGGTAGTGCATACCTGTAATTCTAGTACTTGGGAGGCTGAAACAGGAGGATTTTGAGTTTGAGGCCAGCCTGGGCAAACATAGCAAGACCATGTGTTTGTTTGTTTGTTTTTTTAAAAAAAGAAATAAAATAGATCTTTATGTACATTTTACTACTTTGGAAAGTTCTCTAAATATTAAGTGAAAAAATGGTAAGGCACAATGCAGTGTGTATATTTTCCTGCTTGCATAAATAACAAAAAATACACATATATGCTCACATATAACTCAAAATATAAATGGAAATGTTTTCTAAGGCTAGGGTGGTCAGGGAAGCCAGCTTTCATACTTTACATGACTTAATTTTTTTTCTCTTTAACCAACCACTGGGTGGGTTATCTGCTTAGTGAGATTATGCAACTACTTGTTTTTAATCTTTGTACTCGCCTGTATTAAATAAGACAAAACAATTAACAAATTTAATTAATCCTATCAAATTCATTTAAATAAAATACTTAAAAGTAGGTGTTACCTTGTTCGATACGAGTAGCCAGGTAGAGCATCTCTCCCTGAGCTGCCAACTGGTGCACAGACAATGCTGAAACAATACCATAATGAAATGCTCTCTGTGTACCTGCATCTACAATATCATAATACAACACTTCTTGTACACAGTCATCAGCCCGATTCATGTTTTTGGAACAAATTTCTTTTCCAAAACAAAAACTATCATTTTATCATCAAAAACTCTAACTCAAAGTATATCCTAACATTACATGTACCAGTTCTGGCATCTCAGAATTGACACATAACTTTGCTTAAGGTAATTTGAGCTGGCACCGGTGGCTCATGTCTGTAATCTTATTTATTTGGGAGGCTGAGATTCGGAGAATAATGGTTTGAGGCCAGAGCCAGGCAAATAGTTATCTAGACCTCATCTCCAAAATAACCAGAGCAAAATGTACTTGGAGGCATGTCTCAAGCAGTACAGTACATACTTTGCAAGCTCAAAGTCCTGATTTCAAACCCCGGTCCCATACACACACACACAAAAGGTATTTTGAGATATGAAAAATTATTCTTTTCAATGAAATTTATGACAAAGAAATGGTTTAGGTACTTAGGTACTCCTTTTGTGTTCTGGTAATCCTTTTTTTTGTGGTTCTAGGGTTTGAACTCAGGGCCTCAATGTTGCTCGGCAGATGCTCTACCACTCGAGCCACTCCACCAGCCCCTTCCTTTTGTCTTCTTATTGACTGATTACATTAAAGTTGTAAATTTTTTTAAAATTTTGGAGAGGGAGTCTCAATATATTGCCCAGTGTGGTCTTGAACTTCTGGGATCAAGAAATTCTCCTACCTCAGTCTCTCAAGTAACTGGGAGTACAGGCACATGCCACCACACCCATCTTTTTTGAAGCTGTAATATTTTTATTTTAAGATTCCATGGTTTTTCTTAGCATTCAGAATCAAACCGTGAATAGAAAACTGGTCTTCAGAGTAAATTCTTGAGTGTAGGCCTAATTGTAGCTAATTAGTCATATAATCATGGTTAACTGATTAAATATTTTTGCTCAGAACATGAGGGATGTGAACCAGATGATCGCTAGGTATTTATTTCTTTTCAGCTGAAAAATTCTGTGGTTAGAATATTTTAAGACAAGCTCTTTATTTTCCTGACATTGTTCTTTGAGAGTTATCTTTTAAAAAGTTAGTACTGCTTGATCACTGACTTTAGTGATATGATTGGGTAGCCTTAATACATAAAGGAAAGCAGCTATAAAAACAAACTTACTTAAGTATACCAGAAATGGCCAATAAGTGGAGTGAGAGCCCCAGATGAAGACTTCCCTGGCTCAACTGCTATACCATATGATTCAGAAACCAGAGGAATTTATTATTTCTAAAGTAAAGATTTCACCGGCTTTTACAAACAGATACATTTACATTATAGTTTTAAATATAATTATTAACATCAAATTGCTGTTTTTCTTTTATTCATATACCCATACTGCATAGAACATTTTCTAGTTTAAACAGAAAAACTTTATTTCCTTTACAATGAGTCTACATTTTAAAAAATTGTGGATCCATATTTGTGGTGCCTTTCAGAGACTTTGGGAATATGCTATGAATCTCTGACAACAAACAAGCGACAGCTCGGAACAGTGGCCTTCTGGGTAAGTGGATGCCATGGGTCCTCCCTGTTCAGGGACCCTTTATTTTTTTCCTCATTTGTTAAATATTTGACCTTGTCTTTTTCAAACACTATTTCACTTTGTTTCCCAGAGGCTCCAGGCTTTCATACAGGATACTACCCAAAAGCAGATCAACTTGATCCTGTTCCTCCAACGGGCCCACTACAGTGGTCTAAAGCAAGAAGACCCTGTCAATACTCCCTCCCCTTAAAGACAACAACACCCCACCTCAGCAGGAAGTAGCTTAACAAAATTTCATTGTCCCTTTTCCAAAAGACACGGTGGCCTTCTCCCACTAACCTCAGTTACAAACTACCCCAGTTTGTAAGCGGCAGTGGGCTCCAGCTCTATTGCTGGGGATCCCCTCTGTGCTAACATAAAAAAAATTGTGACTCCAAATTTTAAAAACATGGTTTCATATTCATATTATTATATGCAAATGAAACATTGTAGTAGAAACCACTCAGATTTTAGTACAAAATCATTTGCTGATCAGTGATTGTAAGTGTTTATAAGCAAAACTTTGCACTTTAAGAACACAATAACACTGACAACTTCTTTTTTAAAGAGCTTATATTTATTTTATTATGATTTCAACTAGAAGCAAATCTAGCTGAGCTCTCAAAGCATTTTTTTTCTTTTGGAGGCACTAGGGTTTGAACTCAGGGCCTCACACTTGCTAGTAGGTGCTCTCACTGCTTGAGTCACTCCACCAGTGACAGTTTCTTAATTTTCATCAAAGTTCACAATAACTCACTGTTTTTATAAACTATAAATGTTTCTAATAATTCATATTTCAACCTGTATTTGTTTTCAACAGAGAAATATAAAATATTTAAATATGTAATAATATGTGAAAAAAGTTTAAATTACTAAAACTATTAGGCACCACTTGAGCCCTCAAAAAGAAACTATACATTTAAAGACAATAATGTTTCAAAGCCAAACTCCTGAGAAAAATATGCTAGTAATATTTTACTATATTAGTAGCAAATACTTACAATTTGCTAAGAGAGGTGTGGTAGATACCTCATTTCCTCTGTGTTTGTTGGTTAAAGTAGTTGACTGCTTTATGGGTGAGAAATGCTTTGTTGTAGAGGGAGTGTAGACATGCCTTACTTGAATTCCAGGAGAAGGAGATGTATGGATATTGCATTCAGCTAAGTAAAATAAATTTAAACACATTAAAACAATATTTTAGTGGCAAAGCATTTCAATAAAGTTCTCTGTCAATGTTGACATAACATGAAATGTATGAGTTCTTATAGCTTGAATGCACAACTATTAAGTGATACTCAGTTTGTCATAAAAGTCTATACTACCACACTGAAACTCCCAGAAAGAAAAGTATTAATCTTGAGCAATTTTATTGTAAAAGATTAGCTTTTTAAAAAAAGTTTTATCTACTTATTTATTTTTTTAGAGACAGGGTCTTGCCCTGGCTGGCTTCAGACTCTCAATTCTCCTGTGTCAGCCTCTCAAGAGCTAGGATTACACACAGCTACACACAGCTAGGATTAATTTTATTATTCAATAGAGCATTATAAAAGTAAATCTAAAGCATTTTGACAGACTCTATTGAAGTAAGTCATTGGAAGCAATGTGAATTAGATATTCATGGAACTGGGAATATTAAACTAATTCATTTTGAAGAGGAGTAAGAAATTTTTTCTCATATGATTCTAAAATTTCATTAGTGTATTTGTAAGTAAAGACTAGGCAAGAAATTTTAAAAAATCAATATGTATCTTCCTTTAAAATAGATATTATATAGCATGAAATAACTTAATTTTGGTTTCTGTGAGAGTCTAGAAAAATCCTCTTAAAAGATCCCAAGATCTTTCCAAATTTCAAATCTCAAGGAGGAAAAAACCAACCAAACAAACAAACAAGGGCTGGTGAAGTGGTTCAAGTGGTAGTGCTTATATTGCCAAAAAACAAAACAAAACAAAAAGAAAACCCAACCAACCAAATAAAAAACCAAACCCAAATAAACAAAAGCAAATGCAGATATTTATACCATAACTTTCAACCTTTAAATAGGACAGATGCCACCTCCAAGTCAGAGTTAACCTGATCTTGAATATTTTTACTATCTTCTTCATTCAAGGACTTCACGAATCGAGAACACACGTTCATATCAAATCGGTTAGGCAATATGAATTTCATTCCCATTGCAACGCCCTGAGCTGGTCCTTCCTCGGAAGTCAGGTCCAGTGAATGTTCTACTTTAATGTCTGGCATGCCAGTGAGGCTGTAACTGCTGCGACACTCTTCCACTATAAGTTGGGCTCCAAGGTCCACATTTGCTGATGTAGCCATGATCTCCACTATGGTTTCAATAATTAAAACATTTCTTCATAATTTCCTCTTATAAGATAGGTATCCAGTGTATTCTTGGAACTTGAATATTAAAAAATCTGAAAATAAAAAAACAGAAAATTAAAAATATTATTTCATCTTAGGTAGAAGTACATAAAATAATTGTTTTCAATCAGATATCCAAACAGTACTCTTAGAAACACCTGCACATCATAGAAAGCATACAATGTCCACAGGTATAGAGGCCTGGCTATGAATCCAAGCTTTGTCATTTATTAGCTGTGTGACCTGTGTAAGATACAGACTCCCTAATTCTCAATCTCATTTATAAAGTAGGGATACTGTCATTAACCTTACAAGGCCTTGGTAAGAAGCAAATGAAATAGAGTAACATTCTCGCCTATATCACTATATTCCAACAAATTTTAGTTACTGCCTTTCTTCTTTCCCATATCTGAATATTGCCAAATGAAAAAAGATCAGAATACCAATGAAAATAAGCTTTCATGTTAAAAATTTAACCTTTTAATCTAGGTTCATATACATACCTACACCAGGGGGCACTCTAGCCTGGGGCTGGATATGTATCTAAAAGCACCTGCTTAGCATGTGGGAGGTCCTGAGTTAGATTCCCAGCATCACAGACAAAAGAATGCAGTGTTTATCTAAATGGCTCTTGCTTTGGTTGAAGAAAAGATATGCTCCTGTTATAGCCAAGTTTATTAGCATTATATTCTATAATGCCTATTCTTCTTAAACAGTGAAATTCTTTATAAAGCTTTGGTTTTGATGAACTGAAAATGTATTTGTCAGTTGTTCAGGTTATGCATTAGCAATTTAATATAGATTTTTATGAAAATAAAGTATAGAGATTATGGATTGGCTTCCCAAGATATGTAACTGTCCCAGATATATAATCACTAGAGGGAGTGCCAAAACCTAACAATCACTAGACACCATGAAAGGCATATAATCACTTGAAGGAAACGAGCATCCAGTTAATTTTTTTCATGTTAGGGTTTTGCCTCCTAGAAATTTTGAGAAGGTGTAGGGTGTTTTAAAATAGGAATTAACTGAAATTAAGAGAGAAAAATGGTTGGCAGAATGGCTCAAGAGGTAGAGTGCCTGCCTAGCACTTGTGAGGTCCTGAGTTCAAACCCCAGTGAATTTCTGTGTGGCAGAGAGAGAGAGAGAGAGAGAGACAGAGACAGATAGAGATGTATTAGGATCATGATGCAGAAAGTGTGGGAAAGTCATACATTTACAGACAATCACTGTTTACAAGTTTAAAAACACTTTTGTTGGGTTTGGGGGATCAAAAGACAAAATGAGCCAGTGCCCCATCTCCCATGAGAGCACTATGAACCCTACATCCTGCAAAGGAACATGCACCTTTACAAGTCATGGCCCCCTGGGGATGCCTCAAAATGCCACAAAGCCGATAAACAGGAGGCTTTCACAGGACTGTGTATATGTTCTGCAGAGATATGTTAAGAGACCACTCCACCCCTGACTCCTGACTCCCCTCCCCCAAACAGCGTGTTTTTACAGAGATATGTTAAGAGACCACTCCACCCCTGACTCCTGACTCCCCTCCCCCAAACAGCGTGTTTTTACAGAGATATGTTAAAAGACCACTCCACCCCTGACTCCTGACTCCCCTCCCCAACAAAATGGACCAAAAAAAAAAAAAAAACAACCCTATGTAAACAACTGAGAGTTACAGATTTTCGGGGCTCCCTGTCCCTGTCTAGGGGCAGCTTTTCCTTTTTCTCTAAGAAATTCTACTTTGTGTGTTGACCTGGTTGTCTCACGAGTCAATTTGCTGCCTCACGAGCCAATTCTTTGGCCAGTGAAGACAAGAACTCTCGACACTGGCAGGTGAAACTTTCAAAGACTGATCCTTTTAACAGTTCTCTGAGTAAGCAGGGTAGGTGATCATGTCCACCTCAGAGAGGAAGAAAAGGAAGCTCATGAATTATGAGAAAACCATCCAGCTCTACAGACTCCATCATCAACTGGACCATAAAATAAGAAGCAGCAATAAACAAATCCAAAACTTCCACAGGAGAGTTGAAGAAATGGTACATTGTCAAAAAAAAAAAAAGTACCAGGTAACAAAGTTAACAGTTCAGCAGAAGGAAAGAAGGAAACCAGAACAAAAAATTAGTTTAGTGACTCAAACAGAGATGGATGTGCAATGGAGTAAGTCTACAAGTCCTTCAAAGAGAGTGCAATGGGAGTGGTGTTTCCTACTGGAAGACCCACTTTCTCCACTCTTCTTCCCAACGGTGGACTAGGTGCAACTCCCCTAACTTATCTCAGCACCCCGCTATCCAGCTTCTGCCATTATCTTGAAAATATCCTTTATAAACGTTCACTAATTTGAAAACCAAGACAGGGACTGCTCGTACAATCATCACACACAAAACAGTACTTGGTCCTACCAGGTGCTCCATAAATGTTTTCTGATACATATTTTTTAACATTGTTTTCTAACATTTGCTAATTAGCTCTGGCTTTCCATTCCCAATCTCTACGAATTAACTGTGCAACCCCGGATACGTAATTCATGTAATTTCCCTGAAAGTCACCTACATGTGAAGGTGTTGGAAAAAGCATCTCTAAATGTTCTTCCCAGTTCTACGCAGCTCCCACGTTGTAACTCAGCTTAGAGATGGAATGGAAAGTCTTTGAGGGACAGGAGGGCGGAACAGAACGCTTACCTGGGCACGACTCTGCAGAGGGGACGCCAGGGCCAAGGGCAGCCAGGCTCGCCCCGATCTGTCGGAGCCCAGGGGTACGACCTGTGCTAGCACCTAGTGGACACCAACAACCCCGAGCCTGTCCTACAAGGAAGGAGGACGCTGTGAAATGAAGTGTGCCTCGCGGGCCACAGGTGTCTCGGTGTTCCCGGGACACCTGTAGGATGGGAAGTCCGCTCCGTCGCCACCGAACTGCTATGCCCGAGAGGTCCCAGACGGACACTCGGTCACCCGCAGCGCGAGAATCCTGGGGACAGGGGCGGGAAGGCCAGCACAGCCTTGCGACCACCTTCGACAGCAGGGAGCAAATCAGGCCTTTCCATGAGCGGCCACAGATTCCGCACAGGCCCGCGAGCCCCGGCTTGTTTTGGCCACGACGTCACTTCCGATTTTTTTCTTTCGCTTTCTTACCAAAAAACGTTTAGCGTCAGTGCAGCCGAGATGAGTTCCAGGCTTTTTGTTGTTTTCTTTCCTGCCTTTCTTACATCCTGCCAGAGTACCACAGAGAAAGGGTCATTTCAGTTGACAGCTCTGGGTCACTGGAGCAAGGCCCCTGCCGCGTCCTCTGGTTACGCCTCCTTCTCCGGATCGCCCCGCCCTCGTGTCAGCCCCGCCCACCTGCCAGCCCAGTGCCTTCCCGGCTGCGCGAGTCTCCTGGGCATGCGCCATTGCGTCATCTTCATGCGTCGCTCTCTTTGCTGTGTCTATTGCCGGTTCTTAGAAGGGCCGCGTGATTTTGAGCAAGGGATTCAGAACGATCTGTGTAGGGAGCTGGCCAAATCCAAGAAGCTGTCCTTGGAATCCGGGTGCCTTGACGGACACTCGGGGCCTAACAGAGGTAGGCGAAGGTGGCTCACCCTGAGGGTGGCCCGACTCTCCTGGGCCTCGCTGCGGTTTGTAGCATGCTAGTCGGGGGGCTTCCCAGGCTCCGCAGGGGATTGCTAAACTCCTCAACCGGCCTCTCAGGTTCCATGCAATCTAATTTCCACCCACCTTTTCCTCCTCTACAAACCCTCTCTCCTGTCCACCGCTATCGGTCCCTTTCAGGACACTGGACGAAGTTCCATCTCCGTTTGCCTCTCTTTTTATATCCATCAGGTAGAACTCAAAATCCTCCTCCCCACCCAGTATTCTGTATGTTACAAATAGCATTTATTTGATCGCCTGCATCGTATCGTAGTAGTACCTGTTACTCAGTTACCCAGTGCCTTAAGCCCTAATCTCGGCCGAATCATTTTCCTTCCACTCATTTTCGTAGCATTCCTTGCCCATGCATTTTGCACCTTGTCTTTCCTTCACTCCCCACCAGTGCTGTTCCTCACTTTGTAATTTGGCGAACCAGTGCTACCGCTCCGCACCTCTTTCCTCTAAAGCTTCATTCTTGAAAGGCAGAGTTGGGTGGCAATCTTCCTATACTGTAGTAAGGGTAATGTGCGGAGGGGGGTAAGGGACATATCTGTCCCCAGTGCCCGTTTTTATGTATCCATGGGCTAAGAATGCTTTTTTTTTTTTTTAACAGAGGATGATTTTATTTGATAATAGGAAACACTGACTTTGACCTTGAATTAAGTCACGTGTTATCAAAAGAATTCCATTCTTATTCATAGACAAAAAACATAGTATGCATAATTATTTGGGAAAGATTGTAAGTAAAATTTTGGGGATTTTTTTTTCCTTGCTTGCTATGTGAATAATTACATAATATTCTTCCTTTTTCCTGTTTGCTTCCCAAGCCTAAAATATTTACCATCTGGCCTTGTACAGAAAAAGTTTGTGAACACCTGTTGGATAGTAATGTTCATATTACAGACACTTGTGGTTTTAACTTTCTGTGTTCTCATAGAAACTTTCTTCCTTTACTTTCTTCCATAAATATTGTTTGAGCACTTAGAAAAATCTTTCCGACACATCTGTCAATTTAACAGGGAAAAGAGATCATTACAAACTGGGCATGGTGTGCACTCCTGTAATCCTAGTACTTAGGAGGATGAGGCAGGAGGATTGTGGGTTTAAGATCAACCTGGGCTGCATAGAGAGACCCTGCTCTCAAAAAAAGAAAGACAGAAAAAAAGACATCATTACAATACATTGTGATCATGTGCATTGACAGAAATATTTACAGTCAAATAGGATCATAAAAAATAGGACCCAGCCTTAGATGGCAGAGGTTTCCTGGAGGATGGTTTTATTCTTGAGTTGAACCTTAAATATTAAGTAGGAAGTAAATAGAGAGCATTCCTGGCAGAGAGCTCAAGTAACAAAGATATTGAAACAAGAATGAGCATGATGTGTTAAGTGACCAATAAACAGTTGGTGGTAACAAGAAGTGAGGTTGACAAGAGTCAGATCACAGAGGGCTTTACATGCTCCGTGTTAAGGAACTTGGACTTCATTTTTTGGGTAGTGTTGAGTTTTATAGTCAAAGCTAGCTGGTGACTATTTGGAAGATGGATATGGGAGTGAGGAAGACCTTAGAATAGTGTTGCATTATTTCAGTAGATGAGATCTGAGTTAGGGCAGTGGAACAAGGAGTAAAGTGTACTTGATGAAGTTTTTGAGAAATATTTGGGGGATTAAATCAGCAGATCTTGTTAACTCTAGCTGTTAAGAGTGAGGAAGAACAAGTCAGTTGAGTCTAGATTCCTAGCAGGACTCAATGAAGTCAAAATGGAGAATATTAGAGTGTGTAAGAGTGCAGACCATGTCTGTTTCTCACCATTATATCTCCACTGCCTAGAACAGTTTCCTGCATATTGTAGGTGATTGAATGAACAGAAAAGTTCCCCCCTTCAATCTTGGATTGCATGTTTCATCAAAGTAGCATTTAGAATATGTCACAGCTATTTGTTTTGGTGTTCCTGATGTCATGTTTTCAGGCTTTTCAGAGTAGATAAAGAATAGCACCGCTGGAATCATTCACCTGATAAAATGAGTAGATCTGGAAAGATGCTGTGGCTTAATTGCCAAGTTTTAATTCATTTTTGTCTCATCCTGTTACTTTAATTTAGAATTGCTTTATTGTAGTTTTCTTTCCTATACTTTAAACCTTCTGAAATTGATTTTAAGCTTCCATATCAGAATATTATAATTTTATTTTAAGCTTTAAGGTTTTAAGCTTTTTGATTAGAATATTATCTTTGTTTTCCTTTCTTCTTGGCATTTTTAGGCTCTTAGGAAGTCAAGTCTATACATGACTTTGTAGTTTTATATTAATATTTCCTGTTGTCAGGAAAATGAACACTAAGCCAGTATGCTTCTCTCTGGTTAGATTAGTGGAAAGTTGAGCCAGATTTATTCCTAAGTGTTGCAAACTGGTCATGTAGATGTGAGAATGTGTGTATAGCCTCTGTGTACAGCTGAGGAGTATGGTAGCCCAGATGTGTATTCTTCATGTTTCCTTTAGATTATCTCTTCTGGGTTACATTTGAATGGTTTATTGGTCACTAACCTATAAACTTCCATACAGCTTCTGAAAGAAAGCAGAATGAAAATCATACCCATATGTACAAGTGTATGAATAATATATGCTTTAAAATACTCTTTTTCAGAAATAAGGCAGAGTCATTATAGTTATTTCTAATATCAATTCCAAATTATTGACCCTTGGACAACAGTGCAATTATATGAAATCATGTCTGGTTACAAGCCTGTAGCTATTCAAACATATCCTGTACTTGGTGAAAAGATCACACAAGATACCGTGTACTGGAACAACTATAAAGTAAGTATGGGAGATCAGGGAGGAGGTGATTTGTGCGCTTATTTATTTATGCATCTATGTCACTTTCTCCAGCATATGTTAAATGTCAAATATGCTGGCAGAACTATTAACTAAAAATAATCTATGAGCAGTTTATAGATTAGACGGATAATTTGATATCAGCTTTTCTTAGAATTTTGTGTAAGTCTATACTGCTTAATCATTTTGACCACATGAATGCATAGCACAGAATTAAATGAATTAAATTTTAGAATATGAATCTCATCTGCAAGAAGATACTTTCTTTTCTTGCTTTTCTTAATCTAAGGAAGAAGAGCTATGATGTTACTTCTATACTTTCTAATAAGGCTTAGGTATGATTTTAAAAAACTGAAAAACTAAATAGAAAACTAGTAAAAACTTGGAATTAGGAGGTTTGTGAAAAAGGACATAGTGGTGGCCAATAAACATATTAAAAGAGCCTCAGTTTCACTCATATGTAAAAAACACAAGTTAAGACAATTCAGATACTGTTTTATTCTGTTCTGTCGGCCCAAATGAAAATTTTTGATCATTGCTACTTGAGGGATGGGAACCAGTGCATATTTTCTGGATGGCAAATTGACAGTGTCCATCATGATTTTAAAATGCATATACCTTTTTGCCTTGTACTTTGACAGCTTGGAACATATTCAATGAATGTAATTCCATAAGTTTGATGAGATGTGAATGAAGATATTTTGTTAGTATATATAATATTATAATTATTTTTTGTGGTATTAGGGTTTGAACTCAGGGCTTCATGCTTGCTAGGCAGATGCTCTACTACTTGAGCCACTGTGCCAGTCTGTAATATTAGAATTCTTGAAAAACCTGTGTCCACTAGTAGTGGATTGGTATAGTAAATAGTGCTATATCTACTTATAAAACAGGATTATAAATCTGCTCATATGAAAAGTTAGCTAACTTGGTTATTTAGTGAAAAACAAGGTATAGTACTGCCTGCATTGCCTGCATGGTATGGTCATCTTTGTATTAATTTAAAATCATAATATATTCTGTTATAGGCATAAATTTCTTTCTTTTGAGAATTGTAGTAAATGCAGCAGCTGAAGAAATAGAGGTGTGTGGCTTTCTACCCATATGTTTACTTATCTTAATGGCAACAAGGATAGTCTAGGTGGTGGGATATAGACATATATGTTTCTTCATATTTCTCTAATAAATATAGCCTATTAAAAATTACTAAAAACAAAAGAAACTATGTGATGCTTAAATATACCTTACTAGTTGTAACTCTGTTAATACTGTTTTCTTTTTCATTAAGACCCCTGTTCAGATAAAGGAATTTGGTGCAGTGTCAAAAGTAGACTTCTCTCCTCAGCCTCCATATAACTATGCAGTCACAGCTTCCTCAAGAGTAAGTATGATAGCAAATGTCTTTATTCTAATTGAATATAGTTTACTACTGATCTTGAACCGTCTGATGAAATACTGTTTTCTTATCTTGTAGATTCACATTTATGGCCGATACTCCCAAGAACCTATAAAAACCTTTTCCCGTTTTAAAGACACAGCGTACTGTGCTACTTTTCGACAGGATGGTCAATTGCTTGTGGCTGGCAGTGAAGATGGTGGCGTTCAGCTTTTTGATATAAGTGGAAGGGCTCCCCTCAGACAGTTTGAAGGCCATACAAAGTAAGAGACAGTGGTTTTTTATGTGTTTTTGCTTTGTTTTGTTGAAAGTTCGATCTTTGAATAAAAACATAGCAGTTCTATGAAGGTTATGTACTTGTATCTACTTTTTCCCGGTTGTTTTAAGACATAGCACTTAACTTGGGTTCCATGGTCCAGTTCACAGAGTTCATGAATTTTCTAGACTTGTGAGTAATATTTTAGGAAATGTATGTTTATCTAGGGAGATGTTCTATAGTGTTCTACTGTGGGCTCTGTGACCCAGTGGAGGCTATGAATCACAGTCTAAAGGCATCCTCACAGCTGTAATAATTGCTGTATAGGCCTGGATTATCATGGAGGCTCCCATGGATTTGTTCTGTTTTGTTCCTTGATAAATTGACTATCATAATTTTATAACTTTGTTTCAGGATTACCATTGTATTGCTGATCTATTGATTTAAAATATCAAAAGTGTCTTTTATTGTGTGCCATCAGTATGTTCTTACCTATCAGTGAAACATTTAAAACAACAGAAATTCACATAACATGATCCCATGTAGTGGCAAGTCTTTAGAGTTTTAAAAGTGAACTCTTTTGAGATTTTTTAAAATTAAAGCAAGTATCTTTGTATTAAAAACATTCATTATGCAACTAGGTAGAATTATTAACATACCTGAAGATATAATTTTCAAGGTGTTTACTGTACTATTAATTTAATAGTAGAGTGGTTTTACATTTTTTAATTGGCCTGGATATTTTCTGAAACTGAGCCTGTTTTTTTTGTTTTTTAAATCCAGGCAGGAGCATTTTATGTTAGAAGATTCAAGAAATAAAATTTTTTTCTTGCATTTTAATATACTAATCCTTGATCTTGCAGAGCAGTTCATACAGTAGATTTTACAGCTGACAAATACCATGTGGTCTCTGGGGCTGATGATTATACGGTTAAATTATGGGATATTCCAAATGCTAAAGAAATTCTGACATTCAAAGAACATTCTGATTATGTGAGGTGTGGATGTGCCAGCAAGCTGAACCCAGACCTCTTTGTAACAGGTTGGTGAGCTCTTTCCACTTCACTGCTTTGGGGTTCTTTTGGGATGATGAGGTTTAAAAAAAATTTTTTTTATAGTGCTGGGAATGTAGCTCAGTAATAGAGTGCTTGCCTCTAGTACTAGTTTGTGCTAGTAACACAAACATTTTTTTAAAAAAATATTTTTGATCAATTATCCAATTGTTTTTTGTTTTCTTTGTCTTCTTTTGTAGTGGTTATTATCGTCCTCCAAAAGTGTTTGGAAATATCAGGCTGTCTTGAAAACATAATAGACTTCAACAGTCTGGTTTTCAGACAGCCTCCAGGAGCCACGACACTGTACTGTCTTTAGGTGCAGTTCAGTTTTTGTGGTGCCTGCACAGAGATTCCCAGATGATTCCCCAGTGACAGTAGTCTGAAGATAACAATTTGTGATTAGAGCAAGTTAGATTCTGTATACTATTGTGTAGTGGCAGAGGGTTTGAAAGTCTGTGTCTTGGTGAATATATATATGTGTTTTAAAAAATTTTTATCTAAGGTTTTTCTTTTAAAATTCTTGTCTATGCACACATATAATTTTTATTGTTTCAAACAGCAAAATTCATCTAACCACAAAAATTGACATTTTAGGTTCGTATGATCATACTGTGAAGATGTTTGATGCACGAACAAATAAAAATGTTCTCTGTGTAGAGCACGGACAGCCAGTGGAGAGTGTTCTGCTTTTCCCCTCTGGAGGTCTTCTGGTGTCTTCAGGTATTTCTTTTACAAATAGCCTTCACCAGTGTTGTTGGTCTTAAATGAGATTTTTCTTTATTTGATGCTATGTATAATTTATTAGTGTTCACTTGAATTACATATCTCGGTTTTTGCTCAAACAGTTGACAAGTGGGACAAGCAAACAGTTATCATTTATCAAGTACCTAACCTGAGCCAGGCACCGTGCTAATGTATATGTATTATCTCCTGTGCCCTCGATAGTCCTACAAGGTAGTTTTCTCCCTGTTTTACAACTGAAGAAATAAATGAAAGTTTCAACTCATTTGTCCAAGAAAATTGGCAAATGGCAAGTTTGAAATCACAGAACTTGAGAACTTGTTTTATGTGCTTAACCCTGTTTTGTCTGACCTGAAATCTACTGTGAACTCCTATCGTTCCTATCTAAGAGGTCTGAAAGTAGCTTTTGAAAACAGCTTCTTTTAGATCTAGCATCAGGCTTTCTGCTTTTATGTGACGCTCCTGATATATTTTTACTCAGCAAATAGCTGATAGTGCTGGAGGAGGAGATAATGTAGAGGGCTTGATACATTTTTCATCAAATTGGAACTGGCAGTCTTTTGGTTATATTTAGCGTAGTGTGTTTTCATAATCATAATGGAAGAATTAATTTGCCTTTTCGTATTTATAAAAAGTGAAAACAGTTTTACTTTTATAATAAAGGATGTGTAGGTAGCATGTATGCTTGATAGCACATACATGGTAGTATGTGTGTAGTCTTTTAAAATAATTATTATTACAATTTTTGCTTATCATTACCACACATATTTTTCTTGCTGTTATTTTTGAGAAATGGAAGTAAGACCAAGTTGAAGAGGGAGAATAGAAATCTATATATTAATCCCCACTGTGCTGCTAGCTAGTAGTATAACCTTGGGCAGGCCCTTAATATCGCTAGACCTTGAAACTGAGAACTTGAACTACATCAGTAGTTGCAAACTGTGATTCTTCTCACAAGCTGCAACATTGGAGTGGGAAGGTGGGGATTGTGAAGTGAGTTCCAACCTATAAGAACTGCACTCTTTCTCCCCACCCTCTTTTTCTGTTTTCCCTGCTAGGTTTTTACTTGATATTTTGTTGAAGGAAATTGCTATTTTAAATCACTGGATTGAATCAACTTTAAGGATCCTTCCAATTCTTAGAGTAAAATTATAGGAAAGTTTTTTAGTTTCGTTGGGGTTCACATAATTTTTAGGAAACACGATCTACAATGTTCATTTCCATAGCTTTACAAAATTTCTTTTAAACAATGATTTTATGATAATTTTCATAATGAAATATCTTCTAGTTCCCCTTTACTTCTGCCGGGCAGTTCTGTGCACTTATTTTAATCACTTAACAGTTTAGTGAGGTAGGAACTGTTACTAGCTACACACTCAGTAAATGGTAGGATTTAAGCCAAGCAGTCTGGCTCTGGAATTCCTTCTTAATCTCCACCCCAGGGAACTCCAGTGAAGAATGATTTTCAGATTTTTAAAATTCTGAATATATGGGCAGAATATCAAACTAATTATTATTTATTTTTATAGGAGGTCGTTATGTTAAAGTCTGGGACATATTAAAAGGAGGACAATTGCTCGTGTCTTTGAAAAATCATCATAAAACTGTGACGTGTTTATGTCTGAGCAGCTCCGGGCAAAGGTTACTCTCTGGCTCACTGGATAGGTTAGCATTTTAATTCTCTTTGTTCATCATTATTAGTATACAAGTGTTAGTGCTTGAGAAAATGATGTTATTTTAGTAATATTTGTGATCAAATAAGTATTTTCATGATTTCCATGGAGAAAAAAACTGTTGAGTTGAAAATAATTTTGCTCTTCTATTTTCATATAGCAACCTGTTTTTCCCCTTGAAATAATCTATTGCTTTAGCTTATATATTTAAGCATTATTACTGAACTCTTTGAATATCAATTTGTTGGGTTTTTTTTTGTTTTTTTGCTTTTTTTTTTAAAGACAGGGTCTCACTATGTAGTCCTGGCTAGCCTCAAACTCACTTCGTAGTTGAAGCTGGCCTTGAACTCATGATCTTCCTGCCTCTGCTTCCTCAGTCCTGGAATTACAGACATGTGCCACAACACCTGGCTAATCTTTTAAAATAATCCATTATTCTATAATTCTTTTTAAACCATGGTACATTTGTATATTTTGAAATTTTTGATCATTTTATTTCCATATCTTCCCTACCATTATGAAAAGACTTGTTTTCAACTTGCTTATTTTAAAATTGTAAATATTTTAAAAACTAAAAAATATTTTTAGTTCAAAAAGGAACTTATGTAAATATATAAAATTCTCTGTAATAACATTTCAATGCAATTTGGTACTTTGGTTTTTAGATGTCTCCTTAAAAAGCTAAGTGTTTTCAACCTGGAGTGATTTTTGTCCCTCAGGGGGTCATTTAACAATATCTGGAGACATTTTTGTTTCTCACAACATTGGTGTCTTACACTGCACAGAACAGCCCCACAACATAGGATTCTGAAGCCTAAAATATCACTAATGTTGAGGTCGAGACACCCTGGTCTTCTGACATGGCTGTGTGCATTTGTTGATACTTTTTTTTAACTCCCAAGTTTTATTTTCAGATGACAGTGGTTCATGGTCTATCTTTGGTTTCTTTTAAAAGTTGTAGTCAAAGGCTATTCAGATGTAGTTAGTACTAAAGTACAATTCATTTTTTAAAGCCTTTAATGATGAAATACTTTGTAATTAATATTGATTATTTTTATTGTTGTGTTAATTTTAACACTCATGTATTGAGTTTGCAAGGCACAGAAGTTTTGTATATCACACTCATTTCCAAGATGATTTTTAACAAACCTTTCTTTTTTATTAGGAAGGTCAAAGTATATAGCACAACTTCCTACAAAGTAGTCCACAGTTTTGATTACACAGCTTCAATTTTGAGTCTTGCACTTGCTGTAAGTACTTTTAGCTCCTTTAAAACTGTCACTAACTTTGCTTTTTAAATGAAACTAAAATGGAATTTTAGGGTTTATCTTTGGATTTGAGTAAGCCACATTAGCTATTTGAGTTACAACAATTGCTAAATGACTTGTCCTAATAACTTAACTTAAATTCAGATTCAGGTCCCACTGACTGCTATAGTAAACACAGTGCTGCAGGCCTTGTTAACACTAAGGACTACATCTAGTCCTTAACACACTCAAAAGTTTTATAATCCTTTAGAAGGGCTTTTGAACAAAACTGCTAAAAGTTTCCATGAATACATTCTTCCTCATTTTTCCTATCACTGAATACTGGTGCTCTTGTCACAAGTAGAGCAAATGTTATTTACATTTTATCTCTTTGAATGTGCTCCTTCTCTGGAGCCCAAGGTAGGCAATTATGTTTATCAGAATAGTTTATCTCCAGTTTGAAAGTAACATTTGCATGCATACAACAGAATTCAACAGGTCTGTCTTGTTCTTACTATATAGCTTTGATTTTTGGCCTTCTGTGTAAATCACTAAATATGGTCTATATTTTAATGGTGCTAAATTTCCCTCTTGAATAAACTTGTTTCTGGTTTTAAAAAAAAGAAGGGCAAGTTGGGGCTGGCAGACTGGCTCATGCAGTAGAGTGCTTGCCTAGTAAGCTTAATGGCCCTGAGTTCAAACCTTGATACTGCCAAAAAAAAAAAAAAAAAAAGGGCAAATTGGCTCTTTGAGTACACAGACAAAAAAAGGGTGAAGAAGGAACAACATAATGAAATGTTTGTCAACTGCTTTCTGGAATGTATACTGTAAGTTTCATGGGAAGCCACATTTGGACAGGAGGAGATTTGAATACATTATATAGAATTCTGAACTGTGAAAGGAAAAACTAATTAAAAACATTTTAGGGACAAGCTATGGAAAGGCATGGTACTGTGCAGTGATACGTAAAAATTGTTTTGAAACAAACTTTCCCAAGCTGCCGTTAACATCTTAGTAACATTATATTATTACATTATTTTACATAGCATTAATATTATTATGAAAACCTTACTGGTAACATTTTATAAGGATAAGAAATTCTGTCAACATAGCGGTGCCCAGAGGAAATGATTTTATTCTAATGTTTTGTATAGATCATTGTTAGGCAGAGTATATCTGAATAAAACTGTTGGTAAAAGTATGGATAAGCAGCAAACATGGTATAAATATTAACTTAAAGGTTCTATAAATTATTGGTTAGGAATAGGCTAACTTGTTTTTTTAATTACTGTTAGCATGAAGATGAGACAATAGTTGTAGGAATGACCAATGGAATATTGAGTGTTAAACATCGGAAATCTGAAGCAAAGAAGGATTCTCTTCCTAGGAGAAGAAGACCTGCATATCGAACCTTTATTAAAGGAAAAAATTACATGAAGCAGCGGGTAATTGTGTATATTCTCATGATTTTTAAACTAGGATATTTCTTAGAGTAGCCAATTCCATCCCTGCACATTACTAGAAATCATAATTCATATGTCATCTTGCATTATTTTGCTTTTTGCTACATCAGAATTGGCTCCAGACTGTTAGATTGGGAACATTACTGGAGGACAGTGGGAAACAAGAGCTACTTTATTTAATATGCTGAATTAGAACATAGTGGTACATTGCTTTACCACCTTCAAACAAGGCCTTTCATACACTATCTGATTTGATCTGCTGAACAACTCTAGCCAGTAGTGTTCAGAAGTGTTCAATATGGCATAGAGAAGATTGAGTTACAAAGAAGTTTTGGTTGATCCAGAATTTTAATACTGGTATCTGGAGATGATAGGGCTAGGTCTCAATATATTGGATTTTTGTTTTATTTCTCTTTTTACTAAATTACAGTACCTGCTATGTAAGGAAAGTTGAAATGAGTAGTTTTCACCCAGAACTAAGGCAGCTGTGTGGGTTGTAAGTTAAAAATTGTAAGAGAGTAAAAATATTGATGTGGCACATTATTTCATTTTCAATTAAGCTAGATTATGAACATATGAACATAATTTGTTATATAGTATAGATTTAAAAAAGTATCACTCCATTATGAAAAAGTTTGCTTGGAATGGAACTTTGTAGATACTGATTTTCCTTTATAAATGTTCTTTGCATTTCAGGATGACATTTTGATCAACAGGCCAGTAAAGAAACACCTAGAATTGTATGACAGAGATCTGAAAAATTTTCGGGTCTCTAAGGCACTCGACAGGGTCCTTGAGGTGAGTGAGGAGTATTTTTAAAACAATCATTTTAATAGCCAAGCTTGGTGGGAGGCTGAGTCAGGAGGAGCATTAGTTCAAGGGCAGCTTGGGCTGCATAGTGAACCAAAAAGAGAAAATAATCATTTTAGTACTTGATTTGTGTATTACCATGATTTGGAATTGTGAAAATAAACTTGATAATTTAGTGGTACACAGTGGGTTTTGTTTTTTCTTGTCTGTCATTATACTCATGTTGACTCTGAAAATTTTTTTAGCCCAATTGTGTAATAAAGACACCAGAGGTTACAGTTTCCATTATAAAAGAGCTAAATCGAAGAGGAGTCCTTGCCAATGCCCTTGCAGGTCGGGATGAAAAGGAAATTACTCGTGTTCTTAATTTTTTGATAAGGTATGTTTTATGTTTATGAGACACTTGAATCTCACAGTCATCCAATGAGTTGTATTTATTTTTGGTTCAATCTTTGTAGAAAACCGGTGGAACAATTAAATTGGTTTTAGTGATTTTTTTAAAGTTTGCAAGTTTCATCAAATAGAAATTTGTTTTGTAGGAATCTGTCTCAGCCAAGATTTGCCCCCGTTTTGATCAATGCTGCAGAAATAATTATTGGTAAGTAGTTGTTAAAACTTTACATTCTCACATGCTTGCAACAGTAAAGGTGTTGAAGCTGGGTATATAATTTAGTGTTGGAGCATTTGCTGGGCCCAGCACTGCCAAAATGAACACACAAACAAACAAACCCAAACTCATTAATAATAAATCAATGTGGGCTGGAAGCATGGCTCAAATGGGAGAACACCTAGCTAGTAAGCATGAAGCCCTGAGTTTAAACTCTAGTTCCTCAAAAACAAACAAAACAAAAAACAAATCATTGCAGTTTAAAATGGAGTAAAATATTTACAGTGGTATGACTTTGAATTGATAAACCTAAGAGTATTAAAATTTAGAAAAAATTTCCATAAATGTGTAATGTTAATAACTAATTTTTTAAAAAAATTCATTAGCATACAATTGTACAAAGTAATGGGTTTTGTTAGAACATTTTCACATATGCATACAATGTACTTTGGTCATACTTGCTCCCCTATTATCCTTTCCTTTTTTTTATCATCTGAAATATCCTCTATCCCCATTCTCCTCTTCCACATCCCTCATAGTCCCCCTTTAACTTTCACGTCATTTATTTATTTTTTCCTAAATTGTACATATGAGAAAACATGTGATGCTTGTCTTTGTGAGACTGGCTTATTTCTCTTGCATGAGATTCAGTTCTATTCATTTTCCTGCAGATGACATAATTTCATTCTTTATGGCTGAATGAAACTCCATTGTGTGTATATACCATATTTTATTTTCCATTCACCTATTGATGGGCATCTAGGCAGATTTCATAACTTGACTGGCTACTATGAATAGTGCCATGATAAACATGGGTATGCAAGTATCTCTTGTAACAGCTGACTTTGATATATATATATATATATATATATATATATCTCCCTTAAAGTGGTATAGGTATACAGTAGTTCTATCTTTATTTTTGTGTGGACCTTCCATACTGATTTCCATTGTGGTTGCACTAATTTATATTCCATCAACAGTGCATAAGGTTCCTTTTTCCTTGCCAGCATTTGTTATTGTCCATGCTCTTGATGACTGCCATTCTGACTGGAATGAGATGGAGTCTCATGTTGTTTTGATTTGCATTTTTTTATGTGTAAGGATGTTGGCCATTTATATATTTACTGTTCATTTGTCCATTTATTGATTGGATTATTTGCCTTTAGATATTTAATCTTTTTAGTTCTTTATATATTCTGAATATTAATTCCATGTTGGATGAGTAGCTGGCAAAGACTTTCTCCCATTCTGTAGGCTGTGTTTTCCTTCTATTAATTATTTGTTTTGCTTTGCAGAACACTGTTAGTTGACATAATCCCATTTGTCAATTCTCGCTCTTATTTCCTGAGCTGTTGGGGTCCTAGTCATTGCCCATACCTGTATCTTTAAGTGTATTTCCCTAGTAGTTTTAAAGTTTCAGGTCTTGCATTAAGGTCTTTGATCCATTTTGAGTTGATTTTTACAAAGGTTGGGAGATAAGGATCTAGTTTCAGTGTTTTACATGCAATATCTAAGCTTCCCAGCATCACTTGTTAAAGAGGCTGGCTTTTTTCCAGTGTATGTTTTTGGCACTTTTGTCAAGAATCACAGGCTGTAGGTGTGTGGGCTTATTTCTGGGTATTTATTTCATTGGTCCCTGTGTCTGTTTTTGTGCCAGTACCATGCTATTTTTGTTAATAATGGCTCTGTAGTATAGTTTGAAGTCAGGTATTGTGATCCTTCCAGCATTACTCTTTTTGCTAAGGATTGCTTTGGATGTTTGGGATCTTTTGTGTTTTAATCTGTATTTTAGGATTGAACATCATTGGAATTTTGATGGGAATTGCATTGGATCTGCAGATCAGTTTTGGTAATGCAGCCATTTTCACATTGTTAAGTCCGGTAATATATGAACATGGGAGGTCTTTCCATCTTCTGATGTCTTCTTTCTTCAATATTTTATAGTTTTCATTGTACAGGTCTTTAACATCTTTGGTTGTGTTTATGCCTATGGTTTTTGTTTATTTTTTGAATCTATGTGAATTGAGTTTTTTGTTTTTTGACTTCTTCAGTGAGTTTATGTTGGTGTATAAGAAAGCTACTGATTTTTCTTATGTTGATTTTATATCCTGCTATTTTGCTTGAAAGTGTTTATCAGATATTAAAAGAATTTTTTGGTGGAGTTTGTAGGGTTTTTTAAGTATAGGAATATATCATTTGCAAACAGGGTTAATTTCACATCTTGTTTTTGGGTATGTATTCCTTTTTCTATCTATGGCCTTATTACTCTGGCAAAGATTTCAAGCACTATATTGAATAAGAGTAGATAGAGTAGACACCCTTGTCTTATTCCTAACGTTACAGGAGATGCTTTCAGTTTTTCCCATTTAGTATAATGTTGACTGTAGTTTTGTTGTATGTAGACTTTGTTATATTGAGGTATATGATCACTATTGCTTTAGCTTGTGCTTATTTTGGAAGGTCTTTATTTCTCCATCAAGTTTAAAGGATAACTTTTCTGGATATAGAAATATGTCATTCCATGCTTTCTTGGAAAGCATGAGAGGTTTGATGTAATTCTTATGAACTTGTCTTTGTAAGCAACTTAGCATTTCTGTCTTGAAGCTTTCAATATTTCTTTCTTTGGTCTCTGTACATTGCTGAGTGTTGTTTTTTTTTTTTTTTTTTTCCTTTTTTGGTATCTGAGTACAATAAGTCCTCAATCTTGTCTTCATCCCTGTACTCTTCTTTCTGCCTGGTATAGTCTGTTGGTGATGTTTTCACTGTTTTTTTTTTCTTTTTTAAATTTTGATTTATTGAGCTTTTTGTTCCTAAGATTTATGCTTGGATTTTCTTCAGAATCTACCTTTTGGTAAATTTCTCATCCAAGACTAGAACTGATGTCTTCACTTCATCCATCAGCTTAACTCATTCATCTGTTTCCCTTTTTTAAAATGAGACTTTTAATTCTTTGACATTTTAACTATTTCAGTATGTTTGGATTTGGTTATTAAAGAGTTATGAACTTTTGGAGGAGTCATACTGCTTTCTTTATATTTCTTATGTTTCAGCATCGCGTGATTTGTGCCTTCTGTTGGAATGGATAGCTAAAGTAGGAATTTGAAAATTAGTAATTGTAAAGGTATTAATAATTGAGTAATAAAAATCAGGAAGAATGTAGGGAGGAAAAAGGAGAGAGGAAACGTATAGGGGATGAAGGTGTTAAAAATAATAGTGAGCTAATAATGAGGGAGAACAAAATAAAACTAGTACAAAACAAGACAAGCAAAAAGAAAGAGAAGACCACTCAGTATTTCTTCCTTGCTGGGGAGACAGAAGACGAAGATGTCTCACTTTTGTTCCAGGCTCTTTGTTTGGTAGTTTACTTCCTTCGTGTGTGTGTGTGTGTGTGTGTGTGTGTGTGTGTG